CTAAGAGATACAAATACGACAAAGAATACAGTTTATCTTTCTGAGGAATGAAGGCAGATAGCGCGCGATTCCAAGAAAACATCAGGAGCGAGAGTTGTAAATTACAGCAACAGATATTACAATGGAATATATACATTCAGCCATAACATCTGTTCCACATACTTTTGACAGTGGTATGTTGGAGTCGACCGCATCTAAGGGGGCGTTGTCCATGACTTCGTAGTCCTGTGGACAGCCATCGATTGTCTCGTACCCTGCATCCGGCACGGCATATAACTCTGGAACTACTTCGACAGTATCCGAGCCTGCATGCGAATGGAAACCGAAGTTAATATGGGAGGACATTTGTAGGTTGTACGATACTCGTAATTAAAAATACGATCAACACTCTTGTACAGTATCTTGATTGAAAGCAACACATATTGTATGAGAAAAACTCACAATGTTTGAATGGCTATCGAATTTTTCCACCGTAAAAACCCGCACACGATGAGAAATACTTTACATAATAATTAACGCACCTTGTCTACTGGGCATCGAGGAAGCCACAAAGGAATCGTTCGATATTTTAGACCTTTTACGCGCATCTACGAGCGTGCTAATTTTACCTTCCAATACCTGGGGTCCATTTACGAAGGCGTGGGAGAAACAAGGGAGGTGAGATGAAAAGGGACGATACAATACAAGCACCAAATATGGAGTTAAATCTCTGTTATATTGTTAGATTCCTACACATACAAATTACTATTGTCTTCAGTTGGTAGATGCAGATAAAAATGTATGCATGTCTAATTCAGGTTAAAGATTGATTTAATAGCTAAACATCCATGTATATATATAAATGAGTATAAATATCCGCCAGCATACCATACAGAAAAGAAAAGGACCAATAATAGTATCTACACAAGAAAAACTTCGAGCTATCAGGTGAGTATAAAACAGTACAGATTAGTACAATTATACAAGTACAAAAGAAAAGGGCTGATATTAGTATGCACATATCAAGAACTTAGAATATACGGTAAGTATAAATTAGTATAGATTAGCACAGTTATGCATGTAAAAGTCACATTGTGCGCATTAATGAAGCACGATTCCATAATAACCAAGATAATTGTGCTGATTTTCGCTTGCCATTGAACATCTCAAGAAAGAAAGACATCCAATATTCACATCCCAGACACACACACATAATCTATATATATATATA